CTTTCATTAAAACATTATTAATTGTACACAACCTTCTTAGTAACTTCCTTGAAGAATGAGCTAAATATGTCAATCACTTGTTTTTATTGCTCCAACGCACGGTTAGTAGATCAGTAACAACTATTGAATAGTAGATGAGTGAAATAGGTTGGTCCCTGGACACATTCACTTGAGCAGAAGGTGATTCACGTTCTAGAAGACCTTTCTTACTTCCACACAACCATCTTCAAACAATGACACTAACGTGCAACAACCCAAACCATCACCTTCATCAACTGCCCATGGCTGTGTGTGACTAATACAGGCATTGAGAATGAACATTTTACATGGTTATCCTTTCCAGTTTTGCTCTTGGGTATATCTCTAAGTTTTGCATGCTATTGTCCCATAATGTACAGCTGCCTCTCACCTTCCTTTCCACCTAATATGCTGTTTGTTTGTTTGTTTGTTTTAATACCTCCGGTAGCCTTTGTTAAAGTGGTAGTTTCTTTAAGAATATAATTACAATGTAAATGAGTCTTTAACAAATAGTAAGGCACATTTTGGAATTGAATGCCTAGGTATCGGAGCATTGCTTCCTGATACATTTAAGATCATTACATAAGTTTAACCATAGCTATTCAATCTATGAACCTATTCATTCTTTCTGCTGCTAATGAAGGTCCTACGGCACAAATTTATTAAAGGTATACGTTTGCATGGGATAATAATTGGGTCGATAATATTAAATTCATAGGCTCATTATTTAATTGCAAGGGCAGATTATGAATACAGCTTCTAAAATGTATTTTAATGAAAAACACTACATCCTGACCTAATCATATCAACCTTATGCTATCTAATTAAGGATGCAAAAAAAGTCATTAGAGTTGCAAAATATTAGTTCCAGCTCCATCAGGCTGCAAGCTGCCCCTTCATGAATATATATACTTTTTACTCCATGATAAATAGTTAATGAGGTAAAAATGACAAAATTTGCATGTAGGCAAATTAGTTTAATAGAATGATGTCTTTTCTGACTACTGAAAGTGACCTTTCCTTATAAAAAAAAAAAAGAAGAAGAAGACAGCTAAAATATGTTGAAATTATCATCTTGGCTGTCACTGCACAAATGAAAAATTATATGAATGAAAATGTAAAAATTATGAAATTCAACAATGTTCTCATCATAGTGTCAAGCTCTGTGCTTTTGCACTGATCAATTTAATAAAAGGAAATTAAGCATATTATAAAGTGTCCATTTATGGTGCATGTTTTTTTCCAGCACATGAAAAGAAGACGTGATTCCTGAATAGCACTATGACAAAATTCTAGATCAAATAGGAGAGCACGAGAATTCTGGGCAACAGCGAGATGCTTCCTTGGGCAAGGGCACTTGCCACCAAACCTGAAGTCCTGAGTTTGATCCCCACGGGCCCTCCCATAGTCGACTGAGAGAATCAACTCCTGTAAGTTGAAAGTTATACTCCACCTCTATATCCAAGCTGTGACACAGACATGTATGCACACACTGGATGAACGACTGAATGTCAAAAAGAAACTGAGTGAACACATTTGAAAAAAGTTTATATTAAAATACTTCTTTCGTCCTTAGTTTGGTATTTTAGATTATAAATAATTGTTCTCAATTAAACTGGTGTTGCATCTTGAGAGTAGCATGTCTACTGTTCAACAGGACAGGCTTGCTTCCTTGCCGAAATAGACTAAACAAGCAAAGGTGAGACAATGTGGGAATGATAAGATGGAAAGTGAATTGTAAGGGCTTCAAAACAAACATCTCAGGCCCAAGAGACCTAAAATACAAGGTAAGTCTATGAATTTATTTTAAAATCTTTTAAAATTTATTTTTGTTATTCCCCATTTACGTATATGCGTGTGCCTCTGTGTGGTTATGTGACCGCAGTAGCAGAGGTATAAAACCACATTTTACCCACGTGTGTGTGAATACACATGTGCATGTGTATATATGTGTGCTTCATTGTATCCAAGTGTAGGCCAGAGAACAACTTGTGGGAGTCAGATCTGTGCTTTTACGACATTAGTATGAGGGAATAAACTGAGGTTTTCTGACTGGGTAGCAAGAGCCTTTATTGTCTGAGCCATCTCTTGAGAGTCTATGCATTCTTAATAAACCTAATGCTCTCAACACAGCATAACAGGTATTCTGTGGGACTTCAAAGTATTTGTGAAACGTATTCATAGTTCTTAGCTCAGACAGAGGCTGAGTCAATATGTGTTGTAAAGAGAATAATAGATGTTTATGTAGAGATATGGTCCAACTGCCTCTAAATTAAAATCTACTCTGCCATCATTTTGGTTAAATTGTTTACTTTAATTACATTTAATATACTTGTTTCATTTTTCTCTGCTCTGCCTGAATGTGAACACACACAAATTACTGACGCTCAAAGTTTAAAGCTTCTTCCTGAGTTCTACTTTCCCCCAACATGGATCAGCTAAGTAATTATGTCAGGGACAACATACATATTAATAATGTTGCAACATTTTCCCATATTCTCTGTAGCAATGCAACACCAGTCCCATCTTCTCCATCGCTAAATGGAACCAACAAATATTCCAATAATTATCTTTCCTCTGTCTTTTATTTTTAACTTGCTGCTCTTCATTTTGGATAATCCTGGTACTCAACTTTGGATAGCTTCCAAGTTTCTAAACTTCCATGTTGTGAAACTTAATAATGAAATAAAATGCTCTTTATACATACCCTAGGCACTGTGAAATTATCTCAGAGAGGAAGTGTTCTTGCATAATTAATTTCAACTGTTTTGGACCTTTACACATGTTGTTGTAAGTCATTGAGAACCCAGGATGAATACACAGAAAAATTAAATTTGTTTTGCTTCAGCTCAAGGACAGCGAACTGGGAAAAGTCACTTCTACTGTCAGGTTAACTAAAAGGCAGAAGTAAAGACACACCTGAGTGAAGTAAAACAACCCACAGTTTTGTAAGCCAATGTTTAAATCTCTGTGAAGTAGGTAGCACAGGATATGGCTCATTCCATGGGCAAATTAAGCAAGTTCAATTATCCAACTATGGTGATTTGGATGAAAAATATCCCCCATAAGCTCATGCATTTGGACACTTAGTCTCAGTTGTGGTCTGTTTGGGATGGGTATGGAACCTATAGGAGGTGGAGCCTTGATGGAGAAAGTGTGTCATGAGCCATGGCTGTGAGGGGGTACAGTCTTCCCCACTTCCAGATCACTCTAGACTTTCTATGTGTGGTTGAGATGTTATCGCTCAGATTTCTGTTCCTGCCTCAGTGCCTTTTTCATTATCATGGACATTTAGTCTTTTGGAACCATAGACCAAAATGAACACTTGAGTTGCCTGTGGTCATGGTATTTTACCACAACAAATTAACTAACTAACATGCCAATGGTTCATGCATGTATTAGAACCTATCTGGTAAAAATGTAGTAAAGGACACAAATGATATAAAGATGGAGAAACCACTCTAATTCTACAAGGAGATAAAAATTTCAAAGACAGAGGGATCCGTGCGTACTCTCAGGTTGTCAGAGACACTGAACTATCAGGTAGGACAAGATGTCATGACCAAAAGGAAACAGTCTTGCCTGTCTTAAATCTACAAAGAAGACCCTTGGATTAAGACGCGGACAGTGGCATTCATAACATGTCGTGAACACAGACTGGTGAATCTCCTTTAAAAAGGAGTGCATGCCACCTTGAGCACCTATATTTGTAAATTTATTCACACTTTCATGAGTTATGTGTATTGTTTAAAATGTGTGTGCTAAATGGAAAAGGTGAGGGATAAAGATTCAGGAGACAGGACTCTAAAAAGTAGGCGAGAAACAGCCAATGAGAAGAAAGTCAGGGTTGCATTTGCATGTTAGAAAAATCATGGTAACCAGAGCAGAGAAGGAATTCACAGTGTGAAAATGGGGCAACAGCAGGGTGAAATTACAAATAGACATCGCAGTTCTCCAGGTCCTATAGCTCTGTCACACTGGGCACCAAGGGCCTGCATCTATGCTGCAAAGGGAAAGAGATCAGAGAAGAAAAACTCAAAAAGTTCAATAGGATTTGATCAGATAAAACTCAGCAAGATGAGGGCAGGTTTGGAAAAACTGCATGCTAGTCCTTCGTAATTCACAGTAAACGAAAATGTTACATTCAAAGACCATGGGAGAATCGGTTCTTTGGTGTCCTGACCCAAGTAGAGTGCATGTTTTAATTAAACAACATGTCTGGAATAGATTTGGGTTGAACTGAAGTAGTTTATCTTTGGGCTACCCATCTGAAAATATCAAAATAAGTTACTGGGTCAAATATGTATATAAGAGAGCCTTTAACAGGGAGAGCAATACTTTAAAAGGAGTAGACCAATGGTCTGTATAGAGTAAGAAACCAATAAGAAAAATTGGTACATACATAAACTCTGATGACAATGAGACAGACAAGGCCATGGAAGGAAACATTCAGTGCTTTCAAAAATTAAAACAAAAGAGAAAGAAGGAAAGAAAGAAAGAAAGAAAGAAAGAGTAAAGAAACAAAGAAAGAAAAGAAACAAAGAAAGAAAAAGAGAAGAAAAAAAATAGTGCCTGTAAGGAAGAGACTCCAGGGACTCACTAACAAAGGCAACAGAAGACTACAGGAGAAAAGATTATTTCCTTCCTCCTGCCTACTCAAAGAACCACTGAAGCCTATCCCTTATGAGCAAATGCCCATCCCCACCTATCTTTGAGCTTTCCACAGTTATTTTGTATAGTTTTGACATATTCATATGTGTATGTGTGTGTGTTTGAGAGAGAGAGAGAGAGAATAACAGACATCATTTTGACTAATAAACCGAAATGAGTGCAAAATCTAATCCCAGCATCCATGGTGTGGTGTCAAGCAAGATAGTACATACAGTGCTTCCAGAACAGCACAATGGAAGGCACAGCTGATGTGGGGCTGGGCCGAGGGAGGGAGGCCTCAGCACCGTCAGGTCAGCTTCACTCCAACTCACCTTCCTTCTCTCACCATTGATGCCTCTCCACTGCTTAGACCTTTTTATGATGCGGCTCAGCTCCTGATTGGAAATCTCCAAATCGTAGGGCATGAAGAACTTGCTTTCTTCACTGTGGATTCTCTGAAATGCATCTAATATCCAAGAGTCATGGTGCAACCTAGGGAAAAAAAATTCTTAGCTAGGTTCGCTTTTCTAAATGTATTTTTTCTTCCAAAGTATTGAACAAGTTACATTTTTCTTATCAACATCTATTTATTCAGCTCATTTATCTCATTCTTTTTCTTCAGAAATGGTTTGATAATTAAATTCCAGAAATTACTTAAAGTTTTTCTCAGTTATATATTCTAAAGCAACAAATGCAATCTGGGTGTTTTGCTATTATTTCCTGTTAGCCTACTGACTAGTTTGTGATGCCTAACAGACTGCAGAAAATGGAGGAATACTTGATTGTAACTGGAAATCCAAACTGGGTAAATATTAGGGTTTTCCATAAAAGTTAAATTTGAACTCACTCTTCATAAATTGATTTTAGAATACCCCTTCCCACTCTATTCCACCCCTACCTTCCTCATCTCATTAAATTCCTTGACACTCGTAAGTAACACCTACAGGGGTATTCTGGACATTCATTAAGTCAGTGTTTAAGAACATCTTCCATTAAATATTCCTACAGAGAAAAGTAACTGTTACACTAGCCCTAATCCACTTGAATGTATTTTAACATGTTTTCTTTGTCAAGACCCAGAGGAAGATGGAAACTCTCAAAGAAGAGCCTCTTTATTTGTTGTCTTTGTGTAGTTTTGTCTCTCTTTACCTACCCAGATCTAGTTTCAATAGAGCTGTGTTGGTAACCTCTAGGCTAGTCCAAGGTCTCTCATGGATCAGTGTCAATATGCTAACCCAGAAGAAGTTTGAAAGGTAACTGCAGTCTTTATTGGACTCTCAAAATATTTAGCCAGCTGTCCTCTACAGTTAGACCACTTGTGAGTTTTTGAGATGGCTGATGATCTCCATCTGCTACAAAAAAATGAGCTTCTGACTATAGGGTACACAAAGGGTATATCTATAGCCCCATGCCCAAGGCTCTGGGGACATTATGAAAGGATAGGGCATAAAACTGTAAGAGCCAGGGGATCAGGGTGTCTGCTGCAAGACGGGGTCTTCTATGTATGTCAGGGAAGCTGCTTCCATGACATCTTAATGATATGGTTGCCTAAGCAGGATCAACACAGTGATGATAATAGTTGATATATCGGTGTGGGTGGGGGTTATTTCACAAAGCTATCCTCCTAAATGAAGAGCCAGGCAATTAATGGCTGCTGAGAGAGGGGGACTCAGTTTCCTTCAGGGAAAAAGCCCTTGTAGTCTATCCAACCCCAAGTGATCTGCCATAAACATATGTCCATATGAACAACACTAAATGGAGTCAGCAGTGTGTGTATAAATATGTATACACAGGTGTATGCGATAATTACAATTAATGAAGAGACTATAATTTGTGGGGGGTACTCAGGAGGAATTGGAGGGGTGAAGGGAATGTGTGAAATGATAAAAATACAATACTCACAGATAAATTTCTCAAGAAAAATGGATTTAGCCATAGTACAGAAGTGCCTTTCGAACATTCCAATTAGAGAACTGGAAGCATTTTACTTCAGTGGTCAGAATAATGAGATTTTCTTCTAATTAATCCAGACAATCCATATTAGAATTCATTAGCTGTTTGTTATAATGGCAGCCAACTTCACTGCATTTTGTTATCCAAGAATCAATTTAATCCTAACATTCTATGTTAATATTCTAAAATTTTTAAAAAGTCAGGCTTACTCTTAAAAAAAATAGAAGTTAAAAAAATAACTAAGTCCAGATTTTTTTTATTCTTTCATGCTGACTCAAGTTTTAGCAGGTATTTCCAGTGTGGTAGTAGATGTGATTTTAATCCTATCACCCAGGAGGCAGAAGTAGGTAGATCTCCATGAGCTCAAGGCCAGCCTGATTTACAAAGCAAGACCCCTGTCTCAAACAAACACATAAACTAACAGCTTTACTTAACTACCTCTAATTAGATTCTTTCTAAAATAGTACCATTGGCTTAAAAAAAAGAAAGAAAGAAAAAGCAATCTGTATTTCTGAATAAAATCTATGAGTCAGTTAATTTGCCAATGATTTTGAATTCATTACAGGACTGGTTATATAGCTTCGTATCTCGTGGGATTATCTATTTACACCTGCTGGGAATCAAACCCAAGATTTTGCATCTGCAGCAGGAACCCTCTAGCCCAGAGCTGCATCCCTAGCCAGCTTGACACCATCTTGGAATGCATCCACTGTTGTGCTCTGCTTTGAGAATCTTGCCCAGCTTTCTGAATGATTTGCTGGTTGGCTTATTAAGCAAGAACTGCTCTTGACCATTCTCTTCTGCTTGTTCAATGTAAGGTACATCTTTCTGTTTCCATGGTGATTTACTGAGTTAAATTACTGTCAACTTGGTATTGTAAACAGTCTCTATATGAAGATTTTTAAGTGCAGGATTATCAACAATGCAATTAACTTTGAGTTAATTAGGAATTACAGTCCTGTTTCTGCTGACTTCTGTTCCTTTTGCCCAGAAAATGTCTGTCTTCTTTTTATTTCACTTTTATTCTGTGTGAAAGAATAATTATGTAAACATCAAAGCTTGAATCTGCAGGACAGTTAACAAATGTTTTGACAGAGAACAAAATGGCACATTGGAATATGGAAAGCTGTGCAAAGATTAATTGAATTTTAGTCATATTTAATTTTTTTCTTGCCATTTTGGGTGGCATTTTCCAATGTAAAGCTCCATGATGTGTTGTTAATGAGTCAATTTACAAACCTTTATTAGTTTTCAGCATATTTTACAGCTCTATAAAGCCAGTTTACAGAAACAAGAAAAAGACACTTGGTGGTTGTATATGTAAATAAAAATAAATAAAGAGAAAACTCATGGTTATGTATTTTTTGTTATATAATTAGTCATGAAATATAATACATATCCAAACATGATTTTATTCTTTTGGATTACAAGGATTATTTCATCCTTTGATGTGGTTTTTTGAATCTTCATTTTTCATGATCCCCTCAGAGAGCTGACGATCCCAACACTTTGTTAGATGAATTTCAAAAAGAAAAAACCTTTAACAATGCAAAATAGTTCTAGTTTTGTTTTAGAATTGTGTATTTCTGACATTTATTAGTAAAGTGAAAAAAAAACTCTTCTGTATGCTGTTTTATAGATGTGACAGTTAATGATATCAAATGAAAGATACTGGCTCCCACTAGGTGAGAAATGGGGAGAGAAAAAGCAACCATGGCCGTATGTACAGACTAGTGAACCAAAGAGAGCTATATATAATTTTTGTAGTAGTTTTGCAAATTTGATGCTTTTAAGAGGGAGCTAATATTTTTCTGACATTAAAAAAAATGACAGCATTCTACGGTGATCATTGCCAACCTGGATTTTCTGTAACAACCCAACTTCTCAATAGGCCTGATTTTTTTGTACTTTAAGTTATTTCTTCAAAATGTAATTAAAAAGAGAATTCCACTCCACCTGTCTGCAATGCCTTAGGCATTATTGTTTGTGGAAATAGGTCACATACTCTGCCACAGGTGCTGATGATGGCCAATGAAACCAAGCAATTTGCCAAGTCCTCTGCCCTATGCCCTACATATGCAGCAATTCATGCTTGCTGAGTGGCAGGCGCTACTGTGTTTGTTCTTACTGGAATGTGGGTCATTTCCAGAAACCTAAGATATGACATTTCTTTCCAAGCTAAAAAGGACAAGTGTGAGCAGCGACTGGACTACCTTACGGGTTCCAAGAAAAGGTGGAATCTGCAACTTTAAACTGCTTTTAACTGCTTTAAATGCAAACATATATTTTACGCCAAAAAAAAAAAAAAAAGGCATTTTACACACAGAGTGGCCAATGCATGTCTGAGGTGAGTACTTCCTTGTGCCATTATGTTAGGACGTGGAAGTGGAAGGAGGGCTCTGATTAGACAGCAGCCAGTTGGCTGAAATCCATTATTATGATTATGACACACTGAAATTCATGTGGTCTTTAGTAGGACTGTCAAACACCTTAAATGAGGTACATAACAGGCCAGCGTTGATGTACATGCAGGTAGGTTCAACTGGGTTCCTAGAAACCATGGAGCACCCACCGCTATGCTTAATAGTAAACGGAATTCAGCTGAAATCATAAATTCATTCAGAATCATAGGTAGACGAAATCAAAAAATGCTCAGGGAGAACAAAGAAGAAATAAAGAGGGAAACAGAATTTCAGAAAAAGAAACAAATTCTGAAAGCAGGAAGTTATCCACAGTGGGAAGAAATCAAAATAGTTCCCCTACTCCATTTCCAGAGACAGCCATCACAGGTAGCTAGACACTGGGTTGACATTTTCAACATCTGTGTGATCTCACTCTGCCAGTGGACGAACATCCTCCTGTTCACTCTTCAATTTTTTTTTTTTAAATTTAGTTAACACGTATGATTATATTATATTATTTTCTGGGAGTATGATGGATAGATAGAGGCAAAGTCATCAGGGATGGGACAAGGTTAGGATTCCAGGCCTAGGGCAGGAGCAGGGCTTGAGAGACCAGGAATCACAGCAGCCTGATGTTGGCAAAACAGAGACTGGCCAAGGAGGAGGTGCTGTTAGATAAAGAGGAATACTATTTAAGTGTATGCATATTCTACATTTGCTCCATCCAATTCATCTAGTGGTGGACATTTGGGTGCCTCTGACTGTTTGGTTAATTGTGACTAATGAAGCACAGAAGTTGAGCATTCACCTCTTAGTTATCCAGCTCTAAGCCTCTGGGACCTTTATGCAGACATAGGATGGTAGATCACATAGAAATTATAGTTTTAATTATTTGAGAACCCTCCACCCACACTGTTTTATGTAAGAGCAGTGCTGTTTTTGTATTCTTATCAATAGAGCATAACCTCACACCCTTTAAAAGACACTTTTCTATTCTTTTGAGAGGAATAGTGTTTTGGAGTGTGCCATTACTCAGTGGTGGTTTTGATCTTCATTTTCTGTTATTTAGCGATGCTGAGCATTGGCTCCTGTTGATTGGCTATTTTCAGCTATTCTTTGACAAAGTCCTCTGCCAGT